TAGCACACATGTGAAGTTTGAGCACTTTTTTGAACATTTTCATAGGAGTTATAGCGACATCGTCTTTTATGACGAGGGAAACGGCATATGATTACACCCCATAATGGACCGTTAACCATTATCTGAAGTCTGGTGCTGTTTTGACCCTTTTCATAGGCGTTACGACAACATCGTGTTTTATGGCGAGGGATGCGTTTCCATGGAAACTGCATATGGTGAGATGTCCTATTTGACGTAGAGCTGTTGAGGCATGGAGAGGTGTGCAGTTTCCATGGAAACGCATCCCTCGCCATAAAACACGATGTTGTCGTNTCACATTTGTTATTTTTTATTTGTTATTTTTTAATCTGTTCGAAATAAAGATTGAAAATGAAAAAAAAAAAAAATGAAAAAAAGTTTAAATAGCATGCCAATAGATTGTGTATATATATATAATTCTTAAAGGGGTACTATTATGCTTTTTATTGTAGTGTCTTATAGGTTTGTGTGCATGTAAATGGTCTGCAAAGGCTAAAATCCCAAAGTTGTCCCCAGAGGGAGTTTCTCTCCAATTGGTTAGCGCTCCAGCACATTGAACTTGATAGGCTAAGGGGCAGAACATCTCTTAGCCATTGACCAATCAGAACAGAGCCGGCCAGCTAACCAATCAGAGCAGACTGGGCTCTGGTTTCAGACATAGGGTGAAAAGAGGTGCTGCAGCACAGGCAGTATGAGAAAAAGAGCTTTGTGAACATTAACGCATGGAGACATGTCCCTGTGAGACTACATACAAACAAACTAACCTGAAAATGAGCATAATATGAATTTGGTGACACAAGGCAGTAACAGGTGCTACATTATCATGTGTTTCTATTTCTACATGTAAAATACAGGAGATGCAATGTGGAAGTAGGCAGGTGTACTTTCTTAAAAACAAACCACAACAACGCTGTGCTGAAAAAAAGGAACAGGAAAGGCAACTGATTTATTTTGCTGTTTAGTAATGAATAAAATAATGCAATTTGTATGTGGATGATAAGAACTAGATTTCAATTTAACTCTGCAAGACGTACTGAAATACAGTAAGAGTTTACATATATCAACTCGAGGTTTCTTAGACAACATTAAGTTACAGTGTTTGCCTTCTTTGGGGTTTCTAACTATTCAGGATTTTTCAAACTTTGTGTGATTTTTGTGACACACTCTACGCAGCCTGATTAGGCTCAGGGCTCCTGTCCTGCAAGCTGTACTCTGCTCCGATTGATTCATAGCATGTCCTCCCACTCAGTGTGAGTAACTTCTCACAAGGAATAGACAAATCTGAGCTGCTTTTTATATCTAGACCTTTCAATCGGGATGTGACCTGTCTGTCATTAGTGTCACCAAAGCCTTGCTGTGTAATTTATGGGCTGCCTCAACAAATTGCTTCACAAGGGACCAGAGGGCAGCCTTTCCTTTTCTGGAAGATAAAACCCGCAGAGACGGCACCTCTTCGTTCTGACTTTAACGTCAAGCTGTTTCCTCCCTTTACATCTCCTCCCCCCTACAAAAAAAACTACGTTCGAACAGGATCACATGAATGCTTTCCCTATAAACAGCTGTACAAGGAACATAATGACTCTGATTATATAAAATCCCGCACCATTTGTCATATTATTATAGCTGTTGCAGCTTTAATCAGAAAAGCACTCGGTAATGTGTCTGTGGTGGCTTCCTCTATTGCCTTAAGTCACACTTCTGTCTTATTACATCTCTGGAATTGTATTTGCTTGCTGAGGCAACACAGGTTCCTCCCTCTAATTGTCTCTTCGGGGAAAGGGTTCCTCTTGTGTGAAGGAAGGGAGCAAACATGGGGGGTTTTGGGCCCACTTTTTAACTGACCAAAGACAAAATATGTACATTAGAAACGCTGTCGAAGCTAAACTCGAGAAAGACGTTAGGTTCAATACAGAATGGCGCAGGCAATAAATAATTCAAATTTAGTTAGGCCCGACAAAAGAATAGCTTATGTTTTGATTGAACTATTATTTTTATTGTGCAGAAAATTCTCAAGAGGGCTACTGTGGTTTTTAAGTCACATGCACACAATGCATTTATATTCCACTCTTGTTTCATGGGAACTAAGCCAGTGTCAATTAAGACACTATATGCAGCCCCTATGCTGTAGTGTGCTGTTCCAGATTCTACAGTGATGGACAATGCATCATTTTTTCATGAAAAGCTAACCTTGTCTCTGCTATCTTGTCTGACTCCCTCCCCCCTCCCCAGAGTATCAGTGAGGAATCTCCGGGCAGGAGAGGAGAGCACACTGGGAGAGTGAGATGTCCTTTAAGTGTTCCTTCTGAAGCACAGCAGTAAATCTTTATACGGATGTTCGTGTATATTAAACACAACAGGTGACTGAGCGCCGTGATCAGGCTCTGAGACAATGCGCCTGAGGAGAAGCAATTAGCGGGGACTTGAAAAGAAATGTATGCAACCTTGAATTTACAGCATGTGATGGCTCTAACTGTGCAATAATAGTTATGCTTATTTTTTTTAAATGGAATCAAAGTTCTACCGAGTGGGCTGCCAGCGGTATCAATTGTCCTTTTAGTTTGCAGCACAGGTGTCCTCCGCAATCACTCCCTGGCTGCAACTGTAAAGAGGACCTCTTTCCCATAATAGACTTGTTTCCTTTCTTTTCTTTGTAATGTTGATCGTGAAGTTATCCAAATGGTTACTCGGTGATTGCAGACCTCAGCAAAGGCCATTTCCATTAGGGAAAAAGGAAACGTGTTTGAGATATCACAGGCCGGAATAATCAGCCCCGTGCTCAAGAAAAATAACATTTCCACTCCACGGACATTTGTTAAATGATTTCCAACTGTTGAACATGACTGAAAAACATGATGTGCCCTTGCCGTAAATATTAAATAAAGATGGGATAGTATTTCTCCTCATTAGGACCATCCTAGTCATGCCCAAGCCCGGTTGTTTGGGGCTTGCCCGATTAAGGAAAGGGGCAGACAGAAAAAGCTGTAATGTGTGTATCCGCCCTCTGATTCTGATCCGCTTCAAAATGTAATGGGTTCTTCTTAAACCAATGTTTCACCCTTCCACATACTTGCCAAACTTGAGACCTCAGAAATCAAGAGCATTTCAAAATGCTAGTGGATCGCCGGAGCTGTTAGATCAACATTAACATGCTTATTGTAATTCTAAGTGCAATGCCTTGCGGCCTGTAGCACCATCCTTGATGGAGCATATGTGTGGGCAGGAAAGGAGTGAGCAGAGAGTAGAGTAGTTGTCGATTTTTGTTCTGTTTTCTGTGACTATCTGCCTCCCTCCTCTCAGACGTTCAGTTGCGCGCGCTACTAAAGAGACGTGTTACCATGGAAACCAAACAATGGTGCAGCTGTATTAAAGTCCGAGTGGAAACAGTCCTGAGTAAATCGGATTTTGTCAGAAATCGGGAGAAATGCGGGAGAAATATGACCCCGGGAGGAAACCGGGAGAGGGCAATGAAATCGGGAGTCTCCCGCAAAAATCGGGNAATCTTTATTTCGAACAGATTAAAAAATAACAAATAAAAAATAACAAATGTGAAAAACAAAATACCGTATTGTTAAATACAATATTTATCCACACATGGTAATATTTGTATATTCAACAAAAAAACGGAATAAAAAGTCTTCATATTAATAATAATAATAAATCATATGTGTCCGAAAGTGAGTAGGAGGAAGCAAATGCTTAATAATTCCCACCCCTTACTTTATCAATGATTGTCCTTTAAAATCACTATGCAATTTATTCCTACATACATTTACATTTATACATACATATACAATAATTTCTCATCTTCAAACACCTCTCTTCATTCTCATATTTTTCCAAAAAAGTGTTTCATAACATAATTACATTTTTCTATTTAAGTTACACCCAATATGTCCACTGTAGTTTGAGAGTTATCAGAATCGCAGTGACTATATATATATATATATATATATATATTTTTTTTTTTTAACGATATGATTAATTTGATTGTCCATCAATCATTTTTCTCTTTCATTTGTTTCCTCCACCAAGCAAGTTATGTTTTCTAATGTCCAGCCTCACAAGCTTTATGTAAATCACCTTGAGTTGCCTTTGTGATAAAACAAATATTACATAATATAAATAAACTTGCCCCGGCTTACAAGTTTTTTCTGAAATAGATAAAAATGATGTATGCAATAAATCATTAAACATACTCGCTCGACAGCTTCCTGCAATAATACTGTGACTTTTTATTCTGGTGTGCAATAAATGAGAAAATCACAACCAGTTGGGATAAATATTCACAAAGTACAACAGATGTTCAGGGAGAGACACGCAGCAGCGGGACTCTTTGACGGTATCGAAGATTATAAAACCATAAATTATAATTAGGAATGTGCTGTGTCGTACACAGTGAGGGTGATAGGTGAGTCGGCACTTTAAAAGATTCTGTTTTCATCACATCATAATGCAACAAAAGGCAAGTTGTGAAATGGTATGCTTCTTTGTAATGGTAGTGAGAAAAATGTAATCATGTAAGATGTAATTGTGATTCGAACATTAAAGTGGTGGAGGTCTTTGCCCTTCATGTTTTCAATTCAACCCGCGTCGAATGAATGTCATCATGCAAATGAGAATATGTTACAAAAGGCAGCTATTTCATTTTCTCTTTAAAGTCAATCGATGAGATTTTGTTCAAATTCTGTATCAAACCTCTATTCTAAAGTATAATAGCAGGTCTTTGTTTGTAATGAAGGGTCTCTGAAAATGAGATTTGAAACTGCTTTAAGAGAATCTGCCTTTCACTTTGTTTGGCCCCTCCCCTTTTCCCTAACTACATTACATTTTTTACATTACATGTCACTTGTTAGATACTTTTATCCAAAGCGACTTTCATACTCAGTACTGTGGGCAATCCCCACAGGAGCAATTTGGGGTGAAGTGTCTCAGGGACACAACGACATGCTGACTGCAGTGGGGTTTGAACCTGTGACCCCCTGATCCGAACACCAACGCACAACCCACTGCACCACACGCCGCCCGCCTAATTACCTGTCTTCTCCTGCAGAAGCCTGTTATCCTTATTTGCTGGCACCTGTTTAGGCCTCCACTAAGTATCTGAATGCCTGCCTCTTTTGCTTGGCTGCTTCTGAATAGCCTTTTTTGCTTAGAAAGGCTTCTTCACAGAGTGAATTGACCTGCATGTATTTAAGTGGCATCCATGGTGGATGTATTTCTAAATGCAAAAGAAAGGCGCTTCAGTGCTTCCATTCTTATCTCCTTTTGCATGTAGTACACTTGACCATCGTTTAGCAGACAAAATGCCATCCCACAATTCCTTGAGGCAGCAACATGTCAATAACATCCACCGTCGTAGCAACTTTCAGTCAGCCTGATGTAATTGTGTGAGTCCTAATGACCTGGAAATAACTTAGCATTTTACCACTAAAGGTTCCCTTGTCTCAAAGTCTATGTTTTTTTTTTTTTAATGTTGGAGGTTAGAATAAGGTCTGTGGTTAAGACAAGCAGACAAGATAAGCATGTTTTGTTCTACAACATAAAATACGTCATCATACACCACTAGGGAATCTCTGAAGCTTCTATGTGTCATAAAAAAGATGGTTGCTAATGAGTATCTAAATAAACTAACATCACGCTGACACCAGTCTGCCTTGAGCTTAGAGGTGATGATTTGCAGCCATGCAACTGTGAAGCAGTTCATTTTCAACCTAGCGTAAGCTTTTTATTTCTGCTGATTGGATCTATCACAAAGTGTTGTTAATATGTGGAGATTAAAATAAGTGTATTTTTTGCAACATGGCGAAATCCAGTGGGAAAATCCCATGCTAAGTTCCGGGTCAGCCTACAACTCATCACTCTATATTGTGCACAATTATGGTATAATTGTTTTCCTGTTGTTTATTCACTGCCGTCCTTGTGTCTGAACAGGCAAATATGGGCAATACGATATTTCAAATACTTGTGTCTTAGCCACGGAGAGACAACTCTTTGCCGTTTGAATTTCCTTGTGCAGTCTGTACCCGCAGTGCTGTGTTGCTAAACTAGAAACTGAATCCCAGCACCACTGAAGCTTAGGTTTTGAAGTTAGGGATATTTCTCCCAGGGAATAGAGCAGAACACTTCAAACTCTCTGAACACCGGATCTCATCCTCGTTCCTGCAAGCACTCACTTATCCAGGAAGAAACCTGGCTGCATGCTGTAGTGTAGACAGTGGATCAGCCTCAGTATCTAAAGAAGTCCTATTATGCTTTTTGTGCTTTTCCCTCTCCTCTTGTGTGTTAAAACTGACCTCCATAGAAAAGTGTGTTCTCCTCCGTAGAGCAATTATATCCTGAACTACAGGTAAGGTAAATTAATAAATCCCTTTTTTGGTAATTCCCCGTAGAGAAGACACACTCGCACTTCTATTGGCTGGCACTTCAACATATTATATGTGATAGGCTAAGGGGTGGGACATAGCCGACACATCTCTATGCGGTTGACCAATCACAACAGAGCCGGCCAGCTAACCAATCAGAGCAGGCTCCGGATTCAGACAGAGGGTGAAAAGAGGTGCTGCAGCACAGGCAGTGTGAGAAAAATATAGAGCTTTTTGAACATTAAAGCGTGGAGACATGTCAAAATACTGATATGAACCTGAAAATGACCATAATATGTTCTTTTTAACCTCGCAAATTGACATTCTATCTTCAGCATTTTTTATAATGTTAAAGAATGTAATCATCCCCACTATTCTGACAGTAGGGACGACGGGATATCTGCACTCCACCGACAGGACTTTTTTTTTGTTTCTATAGAATAACAATACAGCTCTCCCTTCCTGGTGACATGCAGCGAGTTCATTTGACACACAGATACATCTCAAGCAGAACATAGACCTGCAGACTACAGCATTAAAACACTTTCAGGTGCAGAGCAGGTGACACTGCAGCGAGTGTTTTGCTCACAGACAGCAGCCAGCAGCAGGATGTTACATCTGGCACCGCCACACGTTTGGTGTGAAGCTATACGATTGTTAATGAGCACTCCTCCGTGAGAATTTAGGTGCAATTTGTTATGGGGGAAGTCAATCAGTCTAATTACAAAACAATTCTGCTCATAAATTACAGTTTTGCCTGAAACTTTTGGGAATTAACTTTATAGATCTTTCCCCAGAAACTTAAATGATGTGCAGAAGACTTGATACAAAAACACTTTTATAATAGATCCTGTCTTGATTCTTTCAAAGTCATTCAA